GCATTGTTCACGTTATACATATTCATTAATAACTTTTAAGGTTCGCGAAAAAATCCTGCAGGCGTTTTTCCATAACCTAACCTTTTGTGTATGCAAAGTTTCATAACGTCATAATCGTTAAATATTGAGGGTAATTAAGTGAATTATATAAAAATCTGTCCACAAAATATTATCAGCTGGACGGACTCAATGGAACTTACATATATTTAACAATTTTGATTTAAAACTACTACAAATATCGTTAGTACTTACATACAATTCCTTCTACAAATCTTTATTAAATTCCGCATACCATCTTTTCAAACGATCAACAATGGCAGTGTTTTGCAAATATTAACCACATCTACATACAAATTATTTTATTAATGAATATCATGGTCATTACATATTATAATATATTTTTTTATATATTATGAGTAACACATTTCAAAATGAATGAGTCGATTAAGTACATGTAATAGAATATAGCGTAGCTTGACTGCAATGCAGAATTAAAACCTAATCGCAAATAGCTGTGTGAGATACACCAATTGTATACCGAAATGAAAAATAGTCCCAAAAGAAAAAGTTTACAAAATTATATCGCATAAGTAACGTAATTTTTTTCAATTTAAAAGTAAAGAAGCTTGATATATTTCATAAATTTTCGTACTCATTTAGCTTGAAGTAATGACATTTAAAAATCATTTTTATGGCCCATTGATGACAAGTAATGTAATGTAATTTAACAAAGTTAGTAGCAACGGAGAAGTTTCTGATTTCTTTCTATGTATTAGTTATAAAAATTTAAGTCAAATATGACAAAAGTATGAAAGAATTATTAAAAAATCTCAACAGATGAAAAATTTATGATACTTTAAAGTTGCGCTTGTAAGAACAATTTCGCGACGTCACGCAACGGCTGAAATTTCAATTAATTTCTAAATAATTTATTAATAAATTTTAAAAAATCGTTAAATGATTATCAACATCATGAAACTTATCCATTGACTCCTGTATTGCATTGACAAGTAGTATTCTTTCTTCACTTATGGAAGTGTGCTTGCAATAACATAGTCTTCCTAGTTATTTTTTTTTTACTTCTATTACATTATGGGCAGAGTTCCTTGCCATTCCCTTAATACGGCTTTGATTATGGCTATAACAGATAAATACATAATTAATGAGTTGAATTAGTCCTTTTAATTAATGGAAGAACGTGAATTAATACATTATAACTACATTTAAGAATAGGATAAAATCTATTTGGTATATAAATTATTTATTATAATAAGCATAATGACAGTAACAGTGCTTTAATAAATAAAATCTATTACCCGATATAGATACATATAGATACATTTATGAGTAGGTACATATTTTATCTGGATAAAGCTTAAAGTTAGTTGATCGTGAGTAGCATTTAATTAACAATATAGCTTTTATTAACGATATAGGTATTTATAATCTTGCGCAGGAAAAATCAAATATAAGATTTTTTTTATATTTTTTTTATGGTTAGATAGTACTTTATTTTGTAATTTCTTGTGGACTTGAATTACAAGTAATGATGTTTTCATTAATTGTAAGTATTTTAAAAAGTAGAAATTTGTAAAATATATGGGAATGACTATTACATATGATTATTTGACATAACGACGATCATTTCAATACAATTTTAAAAATTTCTATTCTTCATCGATTGTAGAATGACATCTTATCTAAGTCTCCAATATTTTCATGTAAAACAGTTCAATCTATACTTTTATACTAATATTACAAAGAGGCAGAGTTTGTTTCTTTGAACGTGTCACCGACATATTGAAGGTACCCGTTTAAAAATTTTTGTTTCTTAATGAGTGGTCCGCCTAATCCTTTTGTATGCACTTTGAAATGAATAATGCAAATTTTACGATTTTAGTATGTATTTACATTAGTACAATCATGAAAATTAAGTGGTATAATTATGAAGAAAAATAAACCCCTATTAAAGATCTACCTTGTAGCTATGACCCAACCAACCTTTGAATACATTATTTATGTATTTTTTTGTATTTTTTTTAATTATAATTGTTTTTTTTTACATTTTGTTTATGGATTTAAATAAATAATAGAAAAGAGCAAGCTGATTGTTCTTGTTGGTTGATGGTATTTTAATTATTCGTATATTATATAGTATGCATTTTTAATAACGAGGGAAAATATATGTCTTCTAGACATCCCCTTTCCGTCGTACTTTGTTAAATAATATTAATTTTCTTAATTAAGCTCTATAGAACACTTTATTTTATGTTTATATTATATAGCATATGTATTTAGAATTTTTAAATATTCATTTATTTGATTACGTCTACTTAAAGCAATATTACTCAGATTAGCCAAAGCCATGCATATTATTGAAGAATTTCAGAGACCTAACTTTTTTAAACTAGTTACTTTGAATCTGTAACACTCTCGTATTATTTTTATATTAATAACGATATTATATTGTTAATAATAATGAAGAAAATTATTTTTATTCATTTTTAATATTATATTGTATAATTCTATAGGCAAAAGCTGAAATATAATAACTGTTCTTACTATACTTTAAGTGATTTAAAGTGATCTAATTGTATAACTATTATAGATATTTTCTTAAATATTATTTGAAATTGAGCTAATTATCAAAGTGTTTTTAAAGAGATTAATATTATACAGGAAGAGTCACAAGATAATTATTTTAATTGTCCTTTCAAAATTTATGAAATATCACACTAGGTAAATCGATATATACTAAAGCTAAACAATATAAATCGTTTTCGGCAGTGGCTAGATATAAAGTCAGTATATCATATTTTTTTACTTTAATGTTTCACATGAGGGATTTGACAATTTAATTTTTTTAGTATTGCACTAGAAAACCTACTTGTATTGGGTCTAATTAGAAGATTCTAAGAAATAGGCGAATAAACAGACAAGTTATATAGATTGTGGAGTCCTAATAATGATACTTAGGTAATTCCAAATCCATACATTACGTACATAAACCTTTTTTCTGTCTAGAAGGTTTTTCCAATCATTATGTACCTATTTAGACTATAATATATTGTTATGTATCCGCCTTGTTTGGACTTATTTAGAAGGATTTTTCGTTATGGTCGCTAGTTAGTACTTACTAATATACTTTGTTTTTTTTTTAATAATTAAAGTGATTTTTCAAGGTTCTTAAAACGACCATTCAAATGTTATACTATTGGCTCTTGATTCATTTAATTATCATATACGTTAACGTTGCATCGTACTTTCAGAGATTCAACCTTAACACTGGAATCATTATGTGATAAACCAATATTGGAATGGTAATAAGTCTTACAAGAAAAATATCACATAAAGAGGGCAGTTTTTTCGAAAACCATAATTTACATGTGCCCTTCGATCAACAGTAGTATTGTTGATCGAAGCATGCTCCCTTTAGAGCATGCTTATCAACATAACCATAAATGGCAATGATTGTTTGTATAATTTTTACTAATATATAATAACTATCAAATAGCTTATAATAAATAGCAAACGTTGTTATATAACGCTTACATTTACTTCTTAATGATACATTCTAAAATTTATATTTGCATGTTTTGACATAACAATGCAAGGCAAAGGGCATCTCCAATTTATTTTGTAAACGTTGCGCACACAGCAGACATAATTCGCTTTAAGATATAATTAATATATTTAAGACTTATATAGAGATAGAATTGATTAATATTACTAATATTTGTTTACTTAATTGTTTTGTTTATTTTGTAAACACTATCTTTTATAATACTATAACTATAGTGTTTGAGATCAAATGTATGAGAGTAAAATGTCAACTTATTAATATACAAAGATCGAGACTTTATAGAGGAACAAACACCGTGAAAGAGAATGTGAAGTTATAAGTTTATACTATTTGCATGATTATTATTTGAATATATTATAATCTTATCTTATTATTGGATTTTATTAATACTATGCCGTAGGTGCTGAAACTTCTCATGAGGTTACACAGTTCCTTATATAGTAATATTATAATATTTTAACAAACCAACAGTATTAATTATCTTATATACATATTATATCCCACTGGTTATTCTTAAAGTTCAGAGACCAATTAAGAAGTGTTGTGCCTTAAACAATAAAGTGACCACACACTAATACAGTTATGTCTCACACTTTAGCAGACTGCTGAATTGCGCCATCTGTTACGACTTTCCACTAAAGCATAATATTGTTAACATAGTGTTTGTTTACTGTTTAATTTTTTAATTATTCTTGAAGAACATATTATATAAGAGCTCACATATTTATTTAACATTCGCATATTAACGAAGTGTTCATAATTTCCTGACATATTCACGTTTCATTTAATTCTTCACAAAGCAGTGTTTCATTCAGTTCAGTGTTTATCTATTGTATGGTTCGCGTATTTTCACAGATACCGAGATTATTCACATTTGTTCATATAATACTGAAAAGTTCACATGATAACGTCACTTTTACACTGGTACTGAAATGTTTTCATATTTTTTTGAAGTTCATAAATTCCGACAGCTTTCACATAAGAAACATCCACTTATAAAAATGTTCATATATTAACCGACACGTTTAGATTTTTGAAATGTTCACATATCATTCAATCACGAAGTATGTATCGTTCACACATCATTGACATGTTCAAGTGACGATTAATTTTCCATAAATTCTTCAATTGTTCGCATTTTAATCAAATATGAATTATTTAAATATTCATATAATATCAACATTTTTCACATATAAATATGAATCATTAGTATTAAAGAGCGTCAATTTTTTTAACTAATCCAAAAACCTTAATATTTTACGAATTACAGTAATATTTCTTAAATTAATATAATACTATATATAATGAAATATAAATCTAAAAATCTAGCGATTTCTTATTTGTTGGCACTAGTAATTATACAATATATTTGTACAATTATAATTGTACAATATTAATAATATGACCACTGTTACTAATCTCTTGGTTGAGGTCCAGGCGCAGAAGCATCGTAGAAATGACTCCGCACCTGAAAATATTAACAGGCATTGTTTGATTTAATACGCCAATGCAATCAAATCAAAATATTTTATTCAGCATTAAATTATTACAATTTTTTACTGAACGTCATGAATCTACTACCAGTTCGAAAAGAAGAAGCCTCAGACCTGAGAAGAACTGGCGAAAGAAACTCAGCAACATGTAACGAAAATACAGTACCTTTCATTAAACTACTAATTTAAATACAAAAGATTGTATTCGCGTACACGTGTGTGTATAATTGTTACTCTAACACGATGGCTGAAGGGATTTAGGTAAAATTTAGTACAGTGATAGACTATGACCTATGGAGTAAGTACCTACCTAACACTTACGGGAGACTATTAGGCACCTGGTAAAGAAAGTAGATCGCTAGTGTAAGGTTAGATTTTTATGATTATATGAGTGTAATGTAAAAAATATATTTTATTAATTTGTAATGATTTATGTATACAGTATAAGGCATTTAGTTATGTGACCTTGGCCGATAGGAATGTATGTAGGTTACAATAAAAAAAAATGACGCGGGTATTCATTTGTTTTCGAGCACTTTTGCGCAGATCTCGGTATCATCTTGTGTATGACTACTCATGAATTGTTTATAGTATTGTAAATTATTATAATAAATTATGTAACTCAATATTTAAAAGAGCAACTGTTGTGTTTTTCGCCGGATTTTCACAGCAGAAACGCTTTCCGAGCCGGTGGTAGATTCCATACGGACGGACGTGCTGACGATTATAAAAAGTACTGAATATAAGAATATATGCAAGGAATATCTCGAAGTTTTATAAGTATCATCTTACACTCGTAATCTATACATATAATAAAATTGTAACTAAGCCGAATCTGTACATTAAATATTTTTTGGAATATCTTATTGAAATAAACATTATTATCGATACAGAGCCCGAATCTATAGTTTTTAGAATTTTTGTCTGTCTGTCTGTCTCTTACCGCATCACAGAAAAATCACAGGAGGGATTTTGATGAAATTTGATATGATGGTAGCTGGTTATCTGAGTCAACATATAGGATACTTTCTACCGCTCGAAAATATCTCATTTAAGAGAAAAAATACAAAAACTGCAATGTAAGAGTATACCAATATGTAGAACCTAAGAATTTGGTTTTTGGTCATCTGACCGCGGGCGGAGTCGCCGGCAATGCTAGTCTATACATATAAGCAAGTAAGTGTCAAATTACCAGTAATTAATTAACAGGAAACTTCGGTTAATAGTAATATGTATTTATTTATATGTACATACATTGAACATTATTACAGTATTGAAAATAAATCCGATATATATATATAATGAGTTAAATTTCACATGACTATCGTTATACGCATTATGTCATTTAAATTATCGATCAATGCTCAAAGTATTATAATGACCAAGCAAGATGCACGGTATGCATGTATGTTTGATGCAATATGTAACATTATATTATGATTGAATATAATTTTTTGCTCAGACAAGATGACACTACAATAATAGTTTGAAGACTAAAATTGTACAGAAATGATACAGGTTAATCACGAGGGCAGAAAAGGTGTATATCATTTCCATTTATTTATATTCTTTTATTTTTAGGGAGCCTGATGGAATATAATGCACCGGCAATATAAACGGAAGCTTAAACTTTTTAAGCTATGGATTGTCTTTTAGTCGGTATTGAATTTTTTATTAATTAATAAATATATTTTTTTTATAATTAAGTAGTCATTTAGTTTTCTATGCTCTGTCTCATTAATGTACGTAAAATCATCTTGTCTAAAGGAGAAGATTATAGAGTTATTTCTGTAAATTACAAATATATAGGATAATATGTGGAACACCTTACACCAATATAGTCTGCCATTTGAAGAACGATCGCTACTAGGTCTCTATGTTCAAATAGATCATCCGGTAATGGAGGATAGGCTCGGGGAAGATTTGTTCTTGCGCGGAAACTCCTGTGCATTCTTAATACACTCTCACAAAATATATATCTTAAAACCATAAGCCTTAGAAATTCATCACCTAGGAATGGATAATACATTGGATCTGGAATGAAATAGAGTGGTGAATTTTTGTTACGTAATTTCAACATTTTAATTGATTTGATATTTTTTAATATGTATAATGCTGTTTAAACTTGTTTAGACATTAAGTTAAAAACAATATTTTTTATCAACTCAAGCCGTCACCAAAATAGTTTTATTCCGAAAATAACACATTTCTTTACTTATGTTAAGTAGTAATTTACTTACCAAGTCTTATTCTCATTAATAATCTTGTTCCTTCAACCATGAAGCGATCACGAAGATGTACACAGCTCTCCCAGGTCGATATACTTACTGTAAACACGTCACAGGCATTGCAGAGTCCCGCTATGGGATTATGCAAAAAGAGTGTGAAGAGGCTTCCTTGATTCCTTCGATCTGGTAAGAGAATTATTACATTAGTTGATAATAATATTCGGACGTTCTCAATCTATATGATTGTTATTATAAAATTTTTCATATTTTTCTGAGCATATTTTAACATTTTTCATTATTTATCAATTTATCCGAGTAAAAATAATGAAAGACATATGGGCAGGTGTTACCGCTAAATACACGACTTACCGCTCAGGGAAACTGGCAGAGACAACGGTGACATAAGAACAACAAGAGGTTGTCCAAATATTTTTGGTATGTGCTGGAATGCATAAGAGTTATCAGAATCCACAATAATGAACAGAGGTCTTCTGGTAAAAGGATGCAAGTCACCCGGATACAATATATGCTTATCCTTATATTTGCTCATATTAGATTTTGTTTCTCTGTTATAGTCTCTATATATATCTGACTTTGAAGTTGTAATGAGACCTCCAATATCATAGCTATCTGCAATTTTTTATTTTATTTTAGCATGATTAATATATATTTACTCAAAATATATTTTAATGTTAAGAACAAATTAATCATTGAGTTATATATTTATTTAGAGTTCAACAAAACTTACAATCCTCAGGATGGGTATTTTGCTGAGGATGATGCCCATCAGCAGATATGTAGATGAGTAGAGCGCAATTGGGCGGTAAGTCATTGCAACTACTTGCCAAATATATTAACACCTGACGTGCGGACGGCTTAAACAATAGGTACTTATGGGGATTTAAGCTCCTGGAATCACTCTCAACACCTCCTAAAACATTACCTATCTGTTACTATCTTCAGGTTTAAAAATGAACGTCGAATATAGTTTTATCTAAAAATTGTTAAATCCTTAGTACAGTGCAAGAACATATTTCGCAAAGCTTAGTTAAATATTAATAATTCAAATTTTCGAAAATTCGCAACAGTAGAAAACATTAACATTTTTTTTCGCTCCCAGATGCAAACGCGCAAACGCGAAACAAAATAAATTGGAATAAAAAAGGAAACAAGTAAGTACATATTTTGAATAGTCAAGCCTTTATTACCTGGCCGAGTTGTCGGATTTTTTGACGTTACACCTAATCCCGATCTATTTTGTGGCGAGTCTCCCGATGGATCTCTTATAGGGACGTCAATTTCCCATTCAAGATTTTGAACCATTCGAAACATATCTATAGTCAATTCCGAGAATTTCACAAGTTGAGTTCCACTTCCTATAATAAGCGCATCGTGTAGCAAAAGACCCATCTGCGCATTTCGTTCTATTGGCGGTACTGACGCTTGGCTGAGACGTCCACTTAAAAAAGTTAAACACAATTGCAATATCCATTTAAATATAAATAGCTTATATTTAATGATTTTCTGTTCTAATAATATTTAGATTATATTTTTATTATTTTATTAAGTTATTATCATTTTTTTGCATATATTATCGAATATTAATTATCGAACACCACGAAAAATGTCAATAATAACTTACGTTACTGTAACGACTCTGTTTTTATTGTCTGGATCAACAATGGTTACTCCTGGTTCGGCAACCAGAAATGTCCTTACTTCTTCTAATACATTGATCCATTCAAGTTGATCGTTTGGATCATACGCGTTTCCATATGCGATAATTTGCTGATCTAACTCTGACAGTAATTCGTCTATTGTAATCGGCTGTTGTAGAAGTATAGCGACAACAATAAATCTAGCGTAATAACGCAGTTTTTTAACCATAAGCTCGCATTTGGCTTCCTTACTTGCTAAAGTATAATACCGCCTTCCTCGAATTGCTGAGTAAAAAGAAAATGCCTCTACCAGGTACGTCGTATCACTCGTACGTAAACTAGAAAAAATATTTTGTAAAAAGTAATTATAATATGTTTATCACGCCTCGAGTTATGTAACCCAACACGTGGGCTATTTAGATATCCTTCTCGGATTAATGTATCGTACTTTTTAGATATTTCTCAAAAGGATCTATTATTGTTAACAATGTACAAGTGAAACAATTGAATGTAATGTCTTTTAAGATCCTTCTTAAAGGGATCTATTATAATAAGAAATGTTCATGTAAAACAATTGAGTTGAAACAGATGGCAAGCAGTTACGCATAAATAGTTTAAGGGTCCTTTTTTTGTGATGGGAACCCACACCAGCTACCGCACTCATGTTCGTATAAAACCTTAGAAATGAAGTTAATATAGTTAGTTGTACTTGTCCTTTCGACGTAAACGTTGTTTTATTACAACCCCGTCCCGATAACTTAACTGGCGCAGTCGGCAGGATCGCATCTGTTGACATAAAGCTTATAGTCAGCTTAGTCATACCACGGTGTACTAGTCCAGGTAGTCCAGTACCTACCGCGACGCGATTATCTAACCTGAAGTCATGAATTGAAGTATTCGGTGCAATCAAACTTTTGCAGAACGACGGTGCAGCTCAGATAAGAGGAACACTTGTGGGGTAAGCAAAATTCTATTATATTCCCAGTTTCCTTTATATATCCTTTTCGAGTCCTACTTATTAAATCAAACTCTTTAATTGGTATCTCAGTATGAAAGTGGATTATATTTTTTAATTTTTTAAACTTTATGTAAAGCGTAGGTAATTCGTATATTGAACAATGCCGCGTTAAACTTTACATTCGATAAAAACCGATTATGTAACTATTGCATCATTATTACCCACGTACGACGGTAATAGTAAAACTTTAAATTTTTATATAAAATCGGTCGAAAGTGTTCTCCATATAATAGGGAACAGACAAGACCCCTTCGTCGCTTGTTTAATAAGAAAGAAGTTAATGGATAGAGCCGTTGAAGTATTGACATGGTGTGAAAACGCTTATACTTGGCCGGAAATAAAAGAAAATCTAATAAGACGTCTCGGTGACTCTAGGGACGAAGTAGAAATCATACACGAGCTGATGAACTTATCAACACATGAAGACGATTTCGAAACGTTTAAGGATAAAGTACGTAATTTGACGGTATCATTAATTTGTTTAGATGCAACGAAACAAATATATTTTGAAAAGTTAGCTATTTCAGTTTTATAAGAGAATATAAGTCCATACGCAGCACTTTCGGTGCGTATTCATAAACCAGATAGTTTAGAAAAATATATATCTATTGCAATACGTGAATAAGCTAGGTTTAAAAAATATGAACAAGAAGCTAGCGAAGATAGGATCTATTTTGATAACTGTAATTTAAAAAATAAACAATTTGATATCGACAAAATTGAAAGCATTACACAAAAGTCTAGTATAAAAATATTAAATTCGGATAATAAAATCGAAACTGTAGGCTTACTCTCGAAACTGATTCGAATTTGATTTTGTTTTTGATTCGAATTCATTTTTGATTCGAACTCGATCCGGCTGCCTTACTCCCGAACCAAATCGAAACAAAACCGAGATCGACTTACGTTCGAGTGTTATCAGCGCCGTTAACTGTATCCGGCTGCTGTGAATCTATGGGCAAATTTTTTTAATGTATAAACACGTTATATAATTCGCTTTTTTCATTTAAGATGATTCCCTAGTGTTTTAATAACAATTTTAAAGATAATATCTAAATTATTTTAGGCATTCTAAAATTTATTTCGTTATTAAACCACAGACAATAATGATGGTTTAAATATTTATTCTGTACCTTTAAACTATTTATTACTGTACAAGTCATGTCCGCGTGGAATAGTGGCAAGAATGCTAGCCGCATTCCCCCGTTGAATGGCAATGCCGATTCTTATTCCACGCGGACATGACTTGTACAGTAATAACTAAGTGTACATTTGTTTTGTATATATAATTAAGTATATTTGTAATTTTCTTTTTTGTAAATAAAGTTTATATCTTGTAAAAAAAAATATTACTTATTACTATGGCAACGAGGTGTCAACTGTCACAGCGCTACATTTCAAAAGTTTCTATTGGTGTTTATGTATTAAAATAATAAGTAATAATATTTTTTAAGCTACTAAAAAAAGAAAAAATAATAAGTGATGACAATATGTTGTGGTGTATACAATTACGAGATATTCTTTGGTAAGTATAAGTATATTGTTTGTGTATATTAAAACAAATATTATGCGTTACATATATATGATGTCCGTACAGTAATATATTGGGTATAATTATCCCTAACTGTTATAATATGGTTACAGATTCAAGACAAAAGAAGGGAAGATATAAAACCCACGCTACTGGAAGGGTAGAAAGTAGCAGAAACAATAAAATTCGTCTAACACTATGAATTGGTTGTATCAAGTGTAAAATAAAAATGTATATTACAAATGCGTATTTTATTACCATGTAAATAAAACATTAATTTAAAAACTAATGTCGATTGCATCACAATATTTGGATAAGATAGTGTCGCTTGCTATAACTCTATCTATTCTCGTAACTGCTTATTTCTTGCAGGACAATTGTCTGTTGCATAAATTATTATTTAAAGCCATTTAATGTATAGTTTCAGCATAACTCTGTGAATTTAAATAGGTTTCAATTGTGCAATTTCTTGTTCTAGTATATATATAGCAGAACAGTGTTTTTGGGTGTCATCCATTACACGTATTTTCACTTGGTTTGATTTGTCAATTACATTAAATAATCGCAGGCGAGCCGTAACAATAAAAAAATGTAATTTATGTAGATAAATATCCACATTCGATACCAATGCTGTCCGATTGAGTGAGGAAGTCTTTTCGATCGTAACGGCCGTTCTCGATCGTAATTACTTCTAATTTGAACCACTGCATAATCGTGCGTTGATGTTAATTTCAAGGGTACGAATCCTAACAAAATCGAGTCAATTTCGATTGATTCAGGAACTCGAAGCTGTCGGGAGTAAGCTGGCTGTTTATTACCAAAAGAAAGGTGTTGATATAGAGTCTAATCGTAAAATAAAAAATAAAAAACGTAAGCTTAATGCGAACAAATATGTAATTAAAATGCATACTCTGTTGAGTATAACAAGATTAATAGCCAAGCTCATTTGTCAGAGTGTAAAACAAAAATCCTAAATCTATAGAAGCCTATAAATAATTATAATAAAAGTGATGTTATAAGTCGAGGTGGCCAGAACAGTGATAAGCAATTAAATAAAGAGTATCATAAACTGAAGCATACGCATAATAAAAAGCTAGCAAATAACAGTCATGATTGTTAAAAAAAACACGCTTTAAATTAAATAGACCCAATGGTTAAATTAATGGTTAGTCAGTAAGTGTGACTTTTCAGAATAAATAGAAATAATACGAATAGTTATAATAAGATAAGAAATTATAAGTCAATATTAGTACATATTTGTATAGTCATTGACTATATCGAAATACATATATTATATTACACACTTTTCGTTTTTGCTTTAACATAGGATAAGCTATGATGAATTTAATTTTATTTTAGCACTAATTTTATTAAGTGTACATGAATTTAAAACAGCATAATCATTCATAGTTTAAGATAGGATCTAAAAGTATTAGTTATAAGCGTACATTAAGACGCTAATCATATTGAAAATTAAGCTATCAATTTTATATTTGAGATACCGATGAGATACTTTCCAATACTTTTATTATTTATGAATCCATCTATAATTCATTCCTTAAGAAAATGATATCCTACTAATTCCAAAAAACCCTTCCATGACACTGGGGTATATAGAATTAGCGTAACCACATGAGTCCTGCATGCTTATCGCAGTCAATGACTTTATCTGCATATAAAGAAAGCACGAGACAAGATAAGAAGAATAGCAAATCAGGCGTTTGCAGCTGGAAGACATCTTGCTGCAACTGCGGTACTCGTCGCAGCCTTCGTCTTCAGCACGCCTTTCTCTTAAGGACGGAGGAGTTATGTAACACAAAACGTGGGCTATTTAGATATCCTTCTCGGAAGGATGTTATACTTTTTAATGTATCGTCCTTTTTAGATATTTCTCAAAAGGATCTATTATTGTTAACAATGTACAAGTGAAACAGTTGAATGTAATGTCTTATTAGATCCTTCTTAAAGGGATCTATTATAATAAGAAATGTTCATGTAAAACAATTGAGTTGAAACAGATGGCAAGCAGTTACGCATAAATAGTTTAAGGGTCCTTTTTTTGTGATGGGAACCCACACCAGCTACCGCACTCATGTTCGTATAAAACCTTAGAAATGAAGTTAATATAGTTAGTTGTACTTGTCCTTTCGACGTAAACGTTGTTTTATTACAACCCCGTCCCGATAACTTAACTCTCGTAAAGTATAAATTATTGCGAATAATTATTATGTTATTATATTATTACGTTATAAAAAGCTTTTTTGATATTTTTATGTTTCTTAAAAGATTACCAAATATTGTTGCAAATAGCGTTAAATAATAATTATTATTTTACTATAATGTAATCAAAATGAGTATTTATAATTAAGTAAATAAATAAATGAATTTTATTTTAGGGAATGTGACAGAAGGGCTATTAGTAAAAGCCCTCGTACAATACAAATTTTTCTTGATAAACTGTGCAGAATTGAAATATAATATTACACCACCGCCCCCTTAAATACTCACATAATATTTTTATTTTGTTAATTTGGTAAATGTAAATATATTTGATAATGACGCACTCCCAATATATCGGCAGTAAAATGAACAGTGCATTATTTCAAATTCTTTCTAAACTATGCTAATATATATTATTACTTATGTTAAAAAACTTAAAAAGGCGTACAAAATTATCCCAATCTTAATAACTACTTCATTTATCAATTTTCATTCAAAGTATTTTTCAAGTTCTATTAAGTGTTTTTTTTTTCAGAATCCCTTTGTGGAAATAAATAAGAAAATTGCAGGGCACAAGCAGGCCACTAGCTGAGTGCAAAAAGTTGTCTATTGAGTGCACTTTCTTGCAATGGTATAAATAGGTAGAGCAAAAGTTGCTTTCTCGATCACTTCAATACAGGGCCGTGCCTGACGGGCGTTCATTGCGTGCACCGCACGCAGGCGGCCGAAATTAAGAGGCGGCCAAATCGTTACAAGTTGTTTACTGGGCAAAAATACAATCGGTTTGTTTTCATTAAGATACGAAGTAAAAACAGTTTCTCTAATCTAATCTATCTAAAAAGAGTTTCTCAGAAATAAGAAATGTATAAAAACTGATTAGGTCGTTGTAGTATTTATATACCTAGTCCATGAACGAATTAACCACTGGACCAGACATATAAGCGGACGTACCTTTAACGGTCATGTCTGTAACCAGGGAATTTTAGCCTAGGTCGTTTGTTTTTTGTGTCAGTCTCAAGCACTTACTTGTCAACAAAACATCTCCCAAAAATGACTAAATGTTCTGTTAAATGGTGTAAAAACTATAACGGCGGAAGCAGCACTATTTCTTTTTACTTGTAAATACATTATTTTATTACATTTATTGTTATTTATCACAAAATTTAATTAAATGTAAAATAAAATGTCATATTATCCAACTATGTTAAATATAGTCGATATTTATATGTATTGTTGACATCTGACAACCATCATAAGCGGGCTGGATTATACCATTCAGAACAGTCTGTGATTATAATACCAATACCATAATTACTTTTTTTCATGTTATTATTAAAGTAAGTAAATTAATTCTATTTTGTATACCTCCCAAATTGCAAGTCAGCCCAGATCTGCCATTGGCCACTGAGCTTTGTTATCCTAATATGTTAGTATAGATTTAAGGGTTATTCCTTGTTCTTTATGTTTGATAATTTTGTCTGTGATTATAAAACCAATACCATAATTTTTTTCATGTTATTATTTTTGTTTAAATCTATACTTATTATAAAAATAAGTCCCCCGGCCGCGTCTTTCTGTCCTCCTGTCTGTCCTCCTGTCTGTCTGTACGCGATAAACTCGAAAACTACTGAACGGATTTTTATACGGTTTTCAACAATAGAAAGAGTAATTCTTGAGGAAGGTTTAGGTATATAATTTATTATGCTTTTATGTAATTAGCTGAAATACGGCGACAAATGTTGAAGAGGTCGCAAAAAAATCTCGCCAAATGGGAAACTTTCCACGCGAACGCCGCGTAAACTAGCAAAGATACAGTTAAGTAATGTACTAGAGAATTCAAAATCTATAAAAATGCTACAAAAAAGTCCGCGATAGCATATCTCTATCTCTTACGGTTGACTTACAATAACCACTTTTATGTTAACATTTTTAATTAAAAACATTACGTTATTTTCAAAGTTATTTTCTTTAGTTCGGTATTAATCCTTATCCAAATGAATATTTTAGTTAGCTTAGTCATTTAATGCAGATTAAAATTGCTCTTTACACTAAATCAATCAGATGAATAGTTTTTGAGATATCGTTGTTAGAAGTAATTAGTAGCGAAACATTTTTAATGCTTGGCGAGCATTGAGATGCCTACGGCGAGTCCATCCCCTCTGCCCCGCATCGCTCGACCGCCTGCTCAAGCTATATAAACCGGGCGATGTAGCGCGCGATCCTAGGATACTTTTTACCGCGGGAAAATATCTTATTTCTGAGGAAAAATACAAAAACTGCAATGTAAGAGTATACTAATATGTAACACCTAAGAATTTAGTTTTTGGTCATCTGAACGCGGGCGGAGCCGCGGGCAATGCTAGTTTTAAATAAAAAAATGTTTATTTTGTGCATTTTTTTTTCTTAAATTTCATCCAAACATATAAATCTCATAAAACCGGTTTTGGGAACAAAACCAATATTTTTTTTCGTTCTCGATTTCGGTTAACCAAAAACTGATTTTTTTCCCGGTTTGATGCCCTGAGTATAATAATAAACATTAAAAATTAAAGTAGTTTTTTTTTAATGTTATCCTGGGGGCGGCCATACAGACTGGCACGCAGGCGGCCATATACCCAGGCACGGCCCTGCTTCAATATATCTTTTTAGCATTTGACTGCGCTATAAAATGTTGCCGCGATAAAAAGTTTTAAATATTTGACACGGGCCGCAGAGCCTTCTAGTTTATTATGATCAAAGATTAGCGTTTTCATAAATAGTGTGAAGCAGGTTTGGACAAAGCACTCTTGTGAGGCGTTTTTTTTAATGTCTAGTGCTGGTGGCCTTACTGGCCTTGATAGCGTGACCGGAACTCGTTCCTCGGTCATCAAGTAGCATCCTGCCTAGAAGTTGAGCATGTAGCTCGAAGGGAGTAGTTTCGTGAGGGCATCTCCTACGAGGTTCAAACCACGGCTTACGAAACTATCGGGAAGGAGGCCTTGCAAAAGACGGCTTAGAATGAAGGAGTATGACGAAAAGAGTATGAAAGTTTGAACTTTGAAGGAATCTACGACCCTTACACGCCTAAGTGGAATCGGGCCGTGACATACAAAGGACCTCGTCCTCGCCGGCGAGAACGGTGATTGTGTGTATTTTGTCGGTGTGTATTCCTATAGACAGCATTACCTAAAGTAATCCTATCGCCTGGGTCGGTCTACGTCTTTTGGTCATCTGGGTCTGTCTGTAATATCTTCAACTGGGTCGTAATTGGCCGCATAGGCTAACAACTGGTTTGTGTGCTGAGATACTTTTAAGAAGTAATTCGAAGATACTGTTTTCATATACCAACTCCAATAGAGATATTTACATCAGTTTTATATGAGCAAAAAGTAATATATAACTTTACATGACGAATGTCAACTTAACTTTTTCTTCTCTTTTTAATCGGGCGAAACGAAACAACATATAAAAACTATTTTAGTGTTTCGCCACATCCTTTCTAGTTAGAAAGGACTAGTTGGAAAGGACCTACAGTTGTAGGTCTTTGTGTAGGTCCTCCATGCGCATGAAACAGAGACCGGCCAAGTGAATCGGTTTTATAGTTTTTGAAGTTAATCTTATAGTGTGTGTCTAGTGAACAACGGATGCATAAGTTATAATTGGGAATATGTGTGTTTTGTAAAGTGTTACTTTGTTCCTAAGGGACAATTTACTACGTTTTCTTATCATAGGATATAGACACGTCCTAGTACAAAGGTTGCTATATTCCTGTTTCTATGTGTTGCCTAAACGTGAGTCTGCTGTTTAGTGTTACCCTAGATATTTTGTGTGTGTCAGCTGTCCGTTCAGTGTGTGTTATATGTTTCTTTGCTGGTTTGTGTCCGCATCACGAGAAAATCACTGGACAGATTTTGGTGAAACTCGGTATGATGATAGTTGGTTATCTGGGTCAACATATAGGATACTTTTTACTGGGGGAAAATATCTAATCTCTGAGAAACCTATACTTAACGCAAAACGTAACTAGGGACCGTAAATAAATATTATTGGAGTTCACGCCCACTAACCATGCATAATTCTGAACTTTCTTGCTCTTTAACATTTATTAACAATTAAAAAGTTTTGCAATTACATAAAAAAATGACTTCTAATAAGATTGAAGTATAAATGTTATTTGGTTTCTCACATAACATTTTATGTAACAACTAGCATTGCCCGCGGCTCCACCCGCGTTCAGATGACCAAAATCCAAATTGTTAGGTTTTACATATTAGTCTACTCTTTCATTACAGTTTTAGTATTTTTTCTCAGAAATGCGATATTTTCCCACGGTAAAAAGTATTCTATATGTTGACCCGAATAACCAGCTATCATCATACCAAATTTCATCAAAATCACTCCAGTGGTTTTTCTGTGATGCGGTAACAGACAGACAGACAGACGGACGGATGGACGGACGGACGGACGGATAGACAGACGGACAGACAAAAATTATAAAACTATAGATTCGGACTCTGTAACGATAATAATGACTATTTCAATAAGATTATCCAAAAAATATGTAATGTACAGATTCGACTCAGTTAAAATTTTATTATATGTATAGACAAGCAATTTGCTTGGAACCAAAGAAAAATATTAGTACTAGGTATTATACTTAGAACTGTTACTCCAAACCCTTTATTCCTGAATATAGTCAGGAATATTATTTTTTGCAATATAGCATAACAGTTCATAAGTCGGATCTAATTCCATATTCTTTTTATTCTAGGAACTGCAATAAGTTCTAAATATTGCTACTTTATAAATTAAATTTATTATAAATGTGAAAAATCTTACTAAAAATGGTAGTAAAGCTGTCCTATTTTAGATGCAATTTCGCCGATTTGCCATCGTTTTAACCCATATCGAGTATCGAGCGTTGAGCGATGTTGCTGCTGGAACTTCCACAGTTTTGAATATATATCAAATGTTCTTCCAAAATGCGCTTGCCATTGTTTATGGCCGTAAGAAGGAAGTTCTCTGTAAAGTTTTATTTATTTATTTACTGAAAATATTCTTCTGGTAACTAAAAATTAATATATATACCAATCGGAATCCGTTTATTTTTAAGAGAAAAGAAAATATATTGAAAACCTGAAGTTTGATGATTTTAAAATGTTAGCAGATATATATGGAATAGAAATTCGTAAAATGCCCCTGATATCCACTACCCCTGAGAAATGGGGGGACACAAAGCGTTGAAAAATAGTTTATTTTCATAGTTTAATTTTCGGCTTACTGTGATGTTCTATCGAAAAATATATTCTACAAAAGTAAGTAGGTTTAGTAAAAATCTACAACTTTTATAAAAATCACTTTTTACAACAACCTTAAAGTTTTCGAGATATTTGCAAAAAACTAGATTTTAAACTGTTTCTTGGTTTTTTATTTTGAATTTCCAGAATAATCTTTTGATTTTCATGAAACTAGGTAAATGTAATCTTCGAAATACAAACAATAAATGGAAAAAAAATTGAAATTGAAATGTTCAGTTATTTCCGAGAAAAGTATGTTTTATGGTCTTAAGAGGCTGAACATCAAGGTGTAAAAATATAACGTAAAATCGAATCTAAAAATAGCGTATTTAAAACCCTATTTTACTACCCACTGCCGAAGCCCATGAAAATTGGCCCTATGACGTTTTTCTAAATGTTTTAATTTATGACAAATTTTCGAATCTGTAACACCGTGCCCCAGATTGAATGGGGAATGGTTTTCTCCTTCATTGTTTTTTTTCTGAAAAAAATGTTTTTAGGTAATTAATTATAGAAAGAAATGAAACTTATTCATTGTCTAATCTTGTTTATTCATTAGTTAATAATATTGTGCCGTCAGCACATTACATTATATGTATTTGCGCCCTCAGTTGGAATGAGACACTCGGATGAGATACTCGTACTCATAATAAATATATCGTTCAGTTTTACGTGTTAATTTATTACACCATATAGCACCCAACCGCTAAAGTGGTGACCCCGACGTGATCCTGGTCTGCTGGTGACGCTCCAGGATATCGTAAGGCTTACGACGTTATTTATCAAGAATTCAATTACTTCAAGTTTCCAACTCGCAATAATCAATAATGAGTACCCCCGTCAGACAGCAGAGCAAAATGAATATTCATTCAGCACCTCAGAACGACGCTGTCGAGCTAGTGTCGGTAACAGTATCTTCAAGGTTACCAGAATTTTGGTGTGACCAGCCACGGTTATGGTTCGTGCAAAGTGATGCGGTTTTGGGACCACAAAAGCTCAGTGACGATGCAAAATTTAATTTAATCGTCACTAAGTTAAACAAAGACATTATTCAACAAGTTAGCGACATACTTTTGAATCCACCGGAGACAAAGAAATATGAAACTTTAAAAGCTCGCCTATTAGCGGTTTACGAGGAATCGGAAACTAGTAAATTTCAAAAATTACTCAGCCGAATGGAATTGGGTGACCAAAGGCCTTCACAGCTTTTGCGTCGAATGAGAGATTTAGCGCGTGGAAAAATACCGGATGAAACATTTCTCATTATGTGGCAAAGTCATTTACCGGCTTCTGTACGAGCTGTTTTAGCTGTAAGTGAGGTTAAAGACCTCGAAAAATTAACTGCAAAGGCCGATAAGGTCATGGAAACCTCAAGACCTGTGAATATTTCTGAAATTCATACAGCTGGTTCCAGCTCAAGTGACAACTCTTTTATTTTGGCTGAACTTGCAAAATTAAGTTTGCGTATTCGTGATATGGAGAGGAGTAGGTCAAGGGCAAGAATTCGTTGCAATAATCAGTATGTACGGTGACGGTCTGTCTCGAGAGCTCGTAATACTACACGGCGTACGCCGGAAAACGCTGATTGGCTTTGTTATTATCGTCACAAGTTTCAAAGCCGAGCAAAGAAATGTGTGGAGCCGTGTTCGTGGAAAAAAACATAATAATTCGGAAAACTAAATGTGGTACAATCGTTGGCGGAGATATGTACCTGCTCACCGCCTATGTATTAGTGATAATAAAACCGGACTCAGATTTTTAGTGGACACAGGAGCAAATATATCAGTTTTACCTTTTAAAAAAAAGATTTTTAGTGATAATTCATGTGACAGTTATAAACTATACGCTGCTAATGGTAGTAAAATTAAAACCTATGGTACTAAGACTCTTGATTTAGACTTTAATTTGCATCGGCATTACCGCTGGACTTTTAACGACGTAAAACATCCGATTATAGGTGCAGATTTTTTAGGACATTATAAAGTATTAGTAGATATTGGTAAACAGAAATTAATAGACAAGGTGACAAATTTGTGTATAATAGCGTCAGTGACTGAGTGTTGCTTATTTAATAAGCAACAATCAATTAGAACTATCGACTATTCCAGTTAATACAGTGATTTATTAGCCGAATTTCCTAATATAACTAAACTAACGTGTTTTAAAGAGACTCCATGCCATTCCATTGTTCACTATATAGAAACAACAGGATCACCCGTGTACGCACGGTCGAGACCTTTACCTTCAGACAAATATGTCAAAGTAAAGGCCGAATTTCAACGCATGCTGGATATGGGTATATGCAGACCCTCTAGAAGCTGCTGGGCCAGTCCACTTCATGTAGTTCGAAAGAAAAACGGCGAAATACGCCCGTGCGGCGATTATCGTCGTTTAAACAACATAACAAAGGCGGATAGATATCCTATACCTCGCATACAAGACTACACATACTTGTTAGCGGGAAAATGTATATTTTTGCGCTTAGACCTTCAACGTGCTTACCACAACATAGGAGTTTCAGAAAAAGATATTGAAAAGACGGCAATTACGACACCTTTTGGATTATACGAATTTACTCGCATGTTTGGTTTGAAGAATGCAGCACAAACTTTTCAACGTTTTCTCTATAACGACGTTTTTAGAGACATGGATTTTTTATTCTGCTATATAGATGACTGTTTCGGACGACCAGAACCAGGGTATGTCTAGTACCCGGAGGTCGACCTGGGACAATCTCCCAGACGTTCTTGGCGTACACGGCAGTATGTCCGTTCGCTGGTAATGTACGCCACCACGCACCCCTGAATGCGTAGCTTGGGTCCCGATCCACTAGGGTTTCTTCGTTGACAGGAGACTATACTAAGAGGCGATGAAATAAAAACACAATTTTTCCTTTTTTCTCTCTTGGTTTCGGTTCTTCCTTTTCCTTTTAGTTGTTGCCTCTTCGGTGGCTGTCTTGCGACTGACTCGAATCGAGAAATGGCTCGCCTTTTATTTGGCCCGTTAATACCTTACAGAGAGCCGCGTACTTTGAGCTCATTTTTCGATTTATGTTTTCAGTATAACACCTTACACATATTTATTTATTTACATGCCTTACATACTATTATACAATATTAAAACATAATATTCAATATATAATAATTAATTAAAAAAGTCTTAAAACAAAAATATCTAAATTTCTAGGTTGCTACATTTTTACTATACATTTTCCCTTATAACTTTTGAACGGATAGTCCTATCGACCTAATTCTTGTTTTATTATAAGTTTTATAATAAAATCTATTATTTAAAACATAAACTATTATGCTATTGCAAGAAACAAAAAATCTCATTTTCAAGTTACGTAATTATATGCTAACATTTTACTTACGTACCTATTCCTTTCAAATTAATGTTAAATAGTCTTATATGATTCAAATAAGCAAAAAATACTCTAAACTAACCTTATTACACTAATTAGAACTTATTTTAACATAATAAATCTAATAAGAATGAGATTTCATATTTACAACAATTATTCATAATACGCTAAAATGACATTGTCCCTATATTAATACACACGTTACTCGAAGATAGGTGTTCCGTCGCCGACATTCTCCCCCTCGTGCTTTGCACCAACTCCTGGACTCGGCGACGCTCCCGGCACCAACAGCACCACTCTCGAACTGGGCCTCCGTAGAACACCTCCTCTGGTCTCGACGTCGACGACTCTGGTCCGCCCGTCTGGTCCAGGATACACATGCAGGATTCTTCCGCGTGGCCAGATGCATCTTGGTAGGCTGTGATCGACGATCAGTACGATGTCTCCGACTTGCAAATCTGTGGCGCTGACTCTTCCTTTGGTCTTCCTTGGTAGTAGAGTGGGCAAATACTCTCTCAGCCAACGTTGCCAGAAGTGATCGGCAAGTCGCTGCGTAGCCTTCCAGGTGTGTCTGCCCACAAGCTCGTTGTCCTCGAAGCTGCCGATTCTTGCTGCGCCACATGATCGCCCGATGAGAAAGTGGTTCGGTGTAAGTGCTTCTTCTTCAGGGTTCTCGGAGAGGTGGGTGAGGGGCCGAGAGTTGACTATGTGCTCGGCCTCTAACAGGAGGGTATGAAGTACCTCCTCTCGTGGTTGCCTTTCGTTGAGCGTGGCGTCCAGTGCGGTTTTAATGGATCGCACCAGACGCTTCCATGCACCTCCCATGTTTGGTGCACCAGGAGGTATGAACTTCCACTGCACGCCGATCTTCTCATCTTCCGAGATAAGGTCTTCTTGCTTCATGGTGTCTAGTGCTTCTTTGAGTTCTTTGTTGGCGCCAACGAAGTTAGTGCCATTGTCGGTGTAGATTATCTTTGGCATTCCCCTTCTCGCGGCGAATCGTCGTAGTGCCATGATCATGCTGTCAGTGGAGAGTGAAGGAGTGAGCTCAATGTGTACAGCTCGTGTTGTTAAGCATGTGAATAGAGCACCCCATCTCTTCTCATGGCGTCTTGCTACGGTGATCGTCATAGGGCCGAAGTAATCTATTCCCGTGCACGTAAATGGAGGGTTTCCGTGCATCAGCCTCTCAGCAGGTAAGTTGCCCACTGGTAGTTCTTGAGGTCTTGCCTTTCTTGTTTTGCACCACTGGCATTGATGTTGAATGGTCTTGATCGCTGACCTCAGTCCTAGCACCCAGAAGCGTTGTCTTACTTCGTTCATTACGGTCGCGTGATTCCCGTGATTGAAGCGGCAGTGAAATTCTTCTATGATGAGAAGTGTTGTCTTGTCCTTGCTGTCGAGTACGATGGGTCGTTTGTAGTCTCTGGTAACCCTTCGTATCGCGTCGATTCTTCCTTTCAGTCGCAGGAGACCTTCTTCTAGCACTACGTCGAGCCTTTTCAACTTGCTGCTGCCCTCTAATTGTTTTCCTTGCTGTAGGCACCTGATGTCCTCTTTGAAGCATTTCTCTTGACTTCTTCTTAACAACAGCGTTTCAGCTTGCTCTAGTAGACTTGTTTCCAATGGTATGTATTTCCTTTCTGACGTTTTTGAAGACAGATGTCGCTTCTCAACAATTTTCTTATTCCTTTTTGTAGTTTTCCAGGTAGGATCTTCTATGCTGGCGTGGACCTTTTCCTTTCTTCTGCAGAGTTGTATGAACTGCAGTACTCTTGCTGTAGCTCGCCAAAGTCTTTTCCACGACGAGAACTTTTCGGGATCTGGTGATGGATAGGAGCTGCCTGCAGTCGCTACGATGTCCGCTGCCTTTTCTTCGCCAGTGGTTTCTTTCTTGAATGTTCTTGCCGCAGGCCAGTGAACTTCATCTCTTCTTAGAAACCCTGGTCCGGTGTACCATCGGTGTTGGCAGTCGAAGTGTTCTGGTACGTCACGTGTTGCATCATCTGCAGGGTTCTGCGCCGTCGGTACCCATCTCCAGTCCTGTGGTTTTGTGAGATCTTCTATCTCCGCCAAGCGATGAGCCACGAATGTCTTGAAGGTTCTC